TAGGCTGCATGGTTCTTCCTACACAGAGGAGCCATGCAAATGCTTCTTAGGGGCATAGAGGGAGGAGGAGCTGTGTGTATGTTCTCCATCTTCAAGGTCTCTTCACCAGCATAATAACGTTACTTGGACCCTCATGCTGGGACGATGCCCGACTTTGATTCCGCCTAATGAAAATAAACAAAACGCGTGCATGGCTAATCCTGTTAATTTTGGTTTTGGGGTAGAAATTAAAAACAGGGGAATGTAAATCACTGCCAGGTTTCTCTTCTAGTAATATTTCACATCCGGATCCCTGGGTGACGCTGGGAGATCTTAATTTGTGGTAAGTAAATCATGCAGGGAAGCTTTTGTGAAGAGGAGGAGGAGGAGGAGGAATTTTGTAAGAACTTAAAAAGAAAAAAAGAGATAACTTCTGTCTCGGTTGCAGCCTTTGAAGTCTCCTTGCAGCTCCTAAAGCTGTAACGTCTCTTTAATGTTACATTGAAGAGAGCAGCAGATATACAAGTTTAAGGAAAATAGTATAGCATCTAACTTAAAAGGGAAAAGAAATGAAACCTCTTCTGCATGAATTATGTTTTTGTAGAAATATTCTTTGTAATTTGGCGTCTTCAGAAGATGTATCAGTCAAGAAACTTTACAACGTCTTACCTCTCCCTCTGCTCCTCTTTGCCCCTGCAGTCCATGTAATATATGTTGCCTTCAGGGAACAAAGGGTAAGGAAAATAACAGCTTAACATATACTAATAAAATATCTGAAGATCTAAAAACATTCCTGCATATTTAAGGTACACCACTTGGTCTGGATTAAAACATCTCAACAACTATTGGATGCCTTGTCATGACATTTGTGTACAGTCATGATCATCTGATTGGCACTATTTAATGATTAGATCAAGTGAGAATGCTGACATCAAGAACTTGGATGTCAAATAGGATTATAATTATACCTGCTTAATATCAGTGTGTTAGCATTGTCCTTGTGAGCACATTAGCATGCTAATAGGGCTTTTATAGCTCAAAGTACTGCTTTTTCTAATACAGCCTAGCGAGAGGACTTTAGAAATGTCACTGTCAAACATCTTGATTTCAATTTGTTTAAAGTCAAATTGAGTTTCTCCTTCTGTAGTATTTGAACCCACAAGCCTCTACCTTCTTCATCCCAAAATTCAAAATGTTACCCTCTTCAGCCCTTCATGGGATATTTCCACCATGTGCATCATACTGTATGAAGACTTCAAAACCAAATCAAAGCATTATGAACATTTGATTGCTGACCGCCAGTTCCCCCGGTATTCTAAGCCTATGGCTACATAACTAAAAGCTGGTCCAAGTCTAAGCCAGACCTAACAATAAGCTTTATCAAAAAGGAAAGATTTAAGTCTATTCTTATACATACAGAGTGTGTCTGCCTGGTAGATGACTCCAAAAGGAGAGGGGCCTGATAACTAAAGGCTCTACCTCCCATAGTACATTTAGAGACTGTAGCTACCACAATTTGCATTATAGGAGCATAATGGTCTAGAGGGGTAATACTGCACTAATAGCTCTTAAGTTGAGATGGTGCCTGACCATTACGAGCTTTGTAAGTGAGAGGGATTTTAAAAACATTTTTTTTTTTAATAGAAAGTCATTGCAGAGATGTCAATACAGCAGTAATGTGATCTATTTGTTCTAGTTGTAGTCAGTTCACATGCTTCAGCATTTTGGACCAGCTTCAGAGTCTTTAGAGAGATATTAGGGCAGCCTGATGAAAGTGAACTACAATAATCCAACATAAAGGTGACAAATACGTGGACTAGTTTTTCTGCATCATTTTGAGACAGAATGTCCTGAATTTTGTGATGTTACGAAGGTGAAAGAAGCCTGGAAATGTGAAGGACATATCCTGATTACATTCCTAACTGTGGTGCTGGATGCCAGGCTGATGCTATCTAGGACAATATGTAGGTCACATATTATCCTCCTTTTCAACAAGTTAAAATAAGTCTCAGAGCTTCACATGTCTGTGAAGGTTTCTGGCCAAAGATCCACTCTGATCCTTTATTTGATCATGTCTACAAACCCATCTATTTCAGTGTCTGTAGCTTTAAATGCAAATGAGCTGTGTCTGACCACGCCCCCCCGGAAGCATGTCCAATTGTGTTTACAGTAAAAGGGAAACTCAAAGGGCAGATTAAAAAAAACACCTAGCTGTGGGAGTGTTGCCCACCTGGGGGAGGGGCCAGCCTTTGTGATGTCATGAAGGGAGAATCTCCACACAGCCTGTTTGAGCACACATTTTCTGAAAAGTGTAGCAGGCGAAAGACGGAGAGGACAGACTTTTCTGTGACGGGGGGGTTTGTAGACAGACTAGAGACACATATTAGTGATAGAAATGGTAGACATGGTAAAGTGAAATTGACATAATATGTGACCTGTAAATCATTTCATAAAGTTTATTTTCACATATAATCCCTAACTATAATCTAGATCATCAACAGTTAAACTATCTTGAATTGATTCCACAGCCTTAAAAAACATGTTGTCATCCTCTATCAAGCTTTAATGTGAAATCGTGATGATTATTAAAGAATAGTACACAGGTAACCCACTTCAGTTCACCTGTAGTGTAACTGAAACTGGAGCATTAGCAGCCTGTGTTTTTCAGAAATAACAATAGATGACTGTTCCAGCACCAGCAAATGAAAGTTTGATCTCACTGAATACAAATAATGGATCATTGAGCTGTTGCACTAATACAAAATGAATGTTCATAATGTATGGGAAAGTTTATTGGAATAACATACTCTCACATCACAGTCACAGAGGAGAATACACTTTTAGCCAAAGGGAAAAAATGTCCATATGAAGATTAGGCGCTGAAATGAATCAGCAAATAAACCGGGCAAATACACTTCAGAAGCAACTGACAATGATATTATGAACCGCAAAAGAAAATCTAATTCATCTTGCCCAGCCTTCAAAGTCTGTGCCTGATTAAAAAGGCAGATTGAATGTGTTGCTTCTGTATCCAATTATACCTGGAAAGCCATACCGTGGCGTTGTTTCTTTTTGATTTGTGTTTGCCTGTCTGCCAGCTGAGGCTCCTCACTCATTGAAACAAACTAGGCCCCTCCAAAAAGGCCATTTGGACTCAGAGATGTAAAAAAGACAAAACAATCATTTCAAAATCCTTAAAAACGTCGGAGTATAACAGTGGTGAAATGTCTTAGATTATTCTGACAACAGCGCCTTTAACATGAACCATCCTTCAAATAATAATACTCCAAGAGGTAAGATATACAACCAATACCAACACAGCCCCACAACACAAGACGCAACACATCAATACAAACAAAACAAATAAACGACCTCATCTCAGTCCATCACTTCCAACCAGTTCACATTTGATCCAGCACATAAATCATCACATCACATTGTGACGACCCCGGCCTGTGTCAGTGCCCCTCCTGTTGCCTTTTAACAACAACTCAGAAACTCTGGAATAATTTGGTTCCCCGTCTTGCAGACATGGCGTCATATTCGTTATCACATGGGTGGCAAAATATGTTTTGTTTATTTTAAGATTTTAAAATACTTCACGTATCAACTTTTTATTTCATGCAACTGAGCAGACTGGATGTTGGTATTTAAAGCTGGCTTCTCAGTCTATCTCTCTCTCTCTCTCTTGCCATCACCAACTTTGGTTTGTTGTCTTCGTTTTGCCTCCACAACACATCACTCACAATCGCAGTCACCACTGGTTTACTGCTGCAGATTCTTTTATTAGGATGTTTTGCCTTAGTTTTCTCCATTTTATTAGAATAAAAATGACTTTAAAACTGTGTCGTCTTTGGCTTTGTCCAGCTCACTGATCCTGGGTTATGACAAATTACATTCAACTAAATTAGGCTTTATAAAAATGGGTCACATCTCCTTTTCACCCAGCTTCTTTTTAAAGAGGACTTAACGGTTAATAAAACAAGTGCGTTTCAGATTTAATAATACAAAAAGATGAATTGGCAGGTAAAGAAGCAGGGAGCTGGCAAACAGCATTCTGTTTGAACTTGTGTACTTGACTGATGCTGCATTAAACATGGCACATTGAACATATGTATGCACTGGGAATGTGGTTATGTATCCCTGTCTCTGCACACTGGACCAGTCTCTGACATACACTGCATATTCTAGGAAAGAAACGCTAAAGAATAAAACAAACATAGTTACCGTTCAGGGAGCTGTGTTTGGCAGGTAAACAAACCCAAACAGAACATCTTGTTAGCATCATTATAAGTAGAGCTGAGGTGTCACGTCCACAGCCTACAGCCACTGAAGCGTTCGCTGCTGTGACCCTGTTCAAATCAACTCGGCTTCTCTCCCTGATGTTTTTTTTGGAAACACTGTTAAACTCGTTACCTGACACAAGAAGTTTTTAGAAACCACGTTAGAATAACCAATTATTTTAAATGAAAGAATGCAGTTTGTTTTGTTGTCCATCAGTTGTTACTGTGTTTGTTTGGTATGATGAAAAAAGAGTAGAGTAAGTGTACCAAGAAGTTTTTAAAGTGTAGAGCCGGTGTTATGCTAACACACAGCCTAATGCTGCCTTCAGGAAATCAAGGGTCATGGAAATAACATATGTTATATGTTACATATGTCTGAAGATTCAAAAACTTTCCTGCATATTTTAGGTACACCACTTGGTACGGATTAAAATATAGTGGCCTAGCGGTTAGTGCACGTGCCCATGTACAGAGGCCATAGTCCTCCAAGTGGGCGGCCCGGGTACAAATCAGACCTGTGGCTCCCTTCCTGTATGTCTCTCTCTGATTTCTGACTCTATCCACTGTCCTATCTCTAAAAGGCAAAAAGCTTCAAGTCTTTATAACAAAAAAACACGTTTCTGCTGAAAGTGTCAAACTCCACAGGCGAAAACATCTGAGGTGAAGTAAAAGCTTTTCGTTCTTCACTGTAATGAACACAGATCTATGTTGCCTAAAGAAAGAGTCATGGGACGTACATTCATGAATAACACATTTATTATTGAAATCAATTATTGATTCCTTTGGAGAATTGACCGGTTTGAAACTTCAGCTCACCTCCCACAAAACAGCTCAGGGTTACATTGCATACAGTTTAACATTAACACCAGAACAGAAACAGAACGTACACGCCCACACACAGCTTGAACAAGCAGCACACTGTATCAATACAACTACAGGTAAACGTGTACAAACAGTTACATGCAACAACGCTGAATACAAAGCTAACATATTTCATTAATGCAACAATGTAGGTCATGTTCTGTGTTCATTTATGGCTAAATCCTATAAATATGAATTTAAAAGTGGTATAAATATATAAATAAGACCATCAAGGATTTATACTTTAAAAAAACACTTTAGGTCTGGAAATAATAGCAATTATATAAATAGATAAATACAGAAAAAAAAAAGTTAATAAATAAATAAATACTGGGGAAATATCTTTGAAACCATTTCCCCAGCAGTGAAGTGGGCTTCTTTCATCAACAGTCCTCAGGTGAGACACTCGCTCACTGGCTGCTGCGGTCGAGCTGCTCAGTGGACCAACAGCAGCACACTTGTGATTTTATGGAAACTTCCCACGAGACGAACTTACATTTTGTAGACTGTAATACCATCCAACATGTACATGAATGACTCACAAAAAAAGATTGAAATATGAGCAACACAGTAAAAAAGCGAATGCCATGGCAACAAAGAGCGCGTCATCAAACTCATTCACATCATCCTGATTACATTTCTGACATTTCTCTGTAGGGGTGTGGGCGGTGAAGGTGTTTAGTCTTGGCTCTCTTCGAAAGTCCAACTCGGAGCGGCCGTGTGCACGTTCTCAGAGGCTCCAGTCTCCTGGTTGGCTCTGGTGCTTCTGCACACAAAAACACAACAATATGAAATAACTGTACGCACCAGTCCTGCATGTCCAGTTTGTCTGTTTATGTGCGTTAACACAGTTTTATGTCAACATACACCAGAGAAGAGCTCATGAATAAAAGGGGTACAACTCCACCACACTAAGTCAAATTCCTTTTATGTGCAAAAAAAAAACCAATTGTGATTCTGATATCCCGAATAATGCAGTAGGTAAGCCAGGATTTGTTTTCTGGGAAATATCCACGGCAAACAAAAAATGAACTTTAAATCTTTCGAGAATATCAGCTTTTAGCAGAGTTTAACAGATTTCTTTTAAATGTGCAGAGACAGAAAGTCATGCTATAAGACTGATTTATTTTCTCATACTGACGAGTTGAACACATTTCATCTCAAAGTAGGAAAGTTGTCGTACTGACTCTCCTGTTAAATATTCAAAAGATAGCTGATTTGACCCCCATCAGACACACACGGGTTCATGAAGAACTGGAAACCAGCTAAATAAGAGGAAAGAAAGAAAAGCTTTGACTTGTGAGACACTGAATAAAATGTCACAACTGGAAATGATCATGCCTGTCACTTGCTTCTTTATTGTTTGTTTTTCCATCACACATTCTATTTTTAATTGTTTAAAGCTCCTATGATAACTCGTCATGAACTGTGTTGGGCACGTTACTGAAAAGTAGAAACTAAAGTGTACTCAAAAAGTCACTGATGCTGTTACTGAGTTATAAAAGTTACTTTACTTGCTTCAATCCTCATATTAATGTTTGCATTATATATCAAGATTAGACAATTGCATATTTCAAAAATAACACTGTCATCATTTTCAATTTGTAGGTATTTTACTGATTTAACCTCTGAAGGCAACCGAGTCAACCGTTGATATGAAGCACGCCAACAACATCTTACCTGTGTATCAGTCTATAGTCAGGCTTACAGATTGTGGAGCAGGCAGTGTTTTAAATCAAGCTGGCTGTTTGTATGGACTGCAGAGCTAATGGGAGCTGCACCTCGGTCTATGAAGTTTGCAGCGCCGTGCTCTCTGACAGCTAGCTTAGTAGACGTGTGCTATTGTTCGGTATTTCTTTCTTATGAGATAAGTTTTCCTTTCTTCTCATAGACTCCAACTCCCCGCTATATTATTGTCGTTTAACTTGAGCAGGGGGAAAATAATGTCAGTATTTCCTAGACGGAGAGCTCACGCCTCAATGATCGCCTGTCTGTGTCCGTTTACAGCATGTGACGTTCTTTCTCCCAGCATGCAGCTGTGCTGACCTCGTTTGCTTGTTGTCAGCTGTTTCACATGAAGTAACGACTAACGAGTACTTTCTAAATGTCAGCAACTGTAACGGCGTTATTGAATCTGGAAAGCAACTAATCCATACCCCATTGTTAGTACGAATTTTCATGAATTCATACATTTTGGTAACTTTGTGAGTGAACTTTAAATCTGTCTACCATCTAAGAGTAACTCTTCTCTTAGGTTGAAGCTGTAACAATATCTATGTAAAACATCTCATAGCAGCAGAGTTATATTTGGTTTGGAGCCAACTATCTGTTGTAAGCAAAGGTTTGCTAAAAGTGAAATGTATATGTCTGACATTTACGAGTCAAGCTGCTGTCTTCTTTCTTGCCTTATAGAGATATATCCAAGTGGACAAGAATTTGTAGGATGTACCTTCTAGCAGAATATAAGCAAGTCTGTTTAGTCTGAACTTTGTCAGTTTGTGATTGTTAACAATTTGTGTTCTGTTGTAACTGTCTGACCTCGGCCGATTAAACCGTAGAATAATCCACAGCCTGTTTCGCGATTTCATCATTGGATTTATACAGCATCAACAACCCCCACCCAACACCCATATAGTTTTTAGTGTTACAGTAACGTGTTAAATAGCAACACGTTGGTCCCAACACTGGTTTTGAATAAACCGAAATGACTACTGATGACCTTTAGCAGAAAACAAGACTATTAGGGACAAACATGATCATTTCTGTTTATTAATGCCAATAATCACTGCCACTAGGTACGTGTCAAACAACGCTAGTTAATCCAGAAACAGAGCTCCTTTACATTTTCCACAGTAAATATTCACAGTGAAAGGGCATTTCTGCTACAACAAGAAGCGACTCACTGTGGCTCAGTTGTTCCAGGAATGTTTGACACATGAAGGACGGGGACCACGTTTTCTTTTTGGACTCCATCTCCTGGGGCTCTGAAAGAAAAAAAAAACACAGCACCGTCTCATTTGTTTCTGTACCCTTAAACTACATTTCACAGCGGTGTTATCGTCCCACTGCAGCTTATTGGGGAAGAGAAATGAATATTTGAACATTCATAAGAGAAAGCTGCGTCAACTTGAAAAAGACAAATCAATAATTGTATTTCTCTGAATTAACCTGGCTGACCTCGATGAGTCTATCACCAACACTCTGGAAAAACAGTGTTAAAAGGGCAATACTGCAAAACAATGGAGGGACAGAAAAGTAGGCTCTAATTAAACTACGTCCACGTAATGGCTCCTCATGTGAATGTTGAAGAATTTGCTTTGAAGAATTTTCCAGTTAAAAAAGGTAATTAGACTTTAAATTGGCATTCTCATTATCTTCAATGATTGTTGAGTTCTAGTTTCATGTTTTTATAAATTAAGCTTTTATGTAATTGTCTTTGTTTTTCACGAGTAAACTACAAACCTCTGTGTGTCTCTGCAGTGTACATGGGTGCTTCCTGGCAGCTGCCAAGGGGCACTTCCTGCTCATCATCACCACTGCCAGGGGTACAAGACACCACTGGATCGCTCACACACTCATCCAAAGTGCGGACTTCATCAACATCATCTAAAGCACAGACAGAGGCAAGACACAGTAGAGTCAGAGCAGTGTATGTGTGGTTTCATACGGTGTCATTAGAGATCATTAATGCAGTTCAAAGCTCCTTACTACCTAATGAATTATTTTACTCTAGCCGACCACTTCTTGAATGTCATTTTGTTAAATTTGTATGGAGGTACTGATTCCACTGTAATTGGCCGTATACCAAAACTTCTCAAGCCTAAAATTATTTTTCCCATACTGTGAAATGTAAAAATCCCAGCATGTTGCAGGGATACAGCAGTTTAAAGCTCACTAGGTTGGAATGACTTGAGTGAAATAAGAAGATCAATACTGCTCTCCGCTCTGTTTCAGGCTACAGCCATCAGCAGAGAAGCTTATTTTAGCACTGATACAAGAATCTGAGGCAAATAGGCAGTCTGGGTCTGTCCGACATAAAAACTGCCCAAAAACACCCCATAAGCAAATGACCATTTTGAAGAAATCCTTGTGGGATTCAGATTAGTAGGATGTTATTAGTCCGGTGTAATTATTCCTTTAATCTTGTTTTACCATGAAGTGACCAGAAAATGATACAAAACTTTCTGCAAGATTCCAAAAAAATAAATAAAATAAAGTATAATATAATTAAAACAATACGCCTATTCCCCCATAACACAGTTGTATATATTATATTAAAGGTCACATGTTGTAAAAAATACATTGTACCATGGTTTTCTCACACTTATGTGTCCCAAATCTGTCTACAAGCCCTTCAATCATGAGAAAAGTCCATCCTCTGCATTTTTTGCCTGCCCCACTTTTCAGAAAATGTGTGCTCAAACAGGCTGTTTGGAGATTTTCTCTTCATGACATCACAAAGGGAAGTAACCCCTCCCCCAGGTGGGTGACACTCCCACAGCTAGGTGTTTGTTCTGCCCTCTGAGTCTGCGTTTGCACCGTAAACAATAGGGCATGGAGCGAGAAAGCCAAAGCCCTTCCAGAGAGGGGCGTGGTCAGACACAGCTCATTTACATTTGAAGGTACAGACACAGAAACAGTCTGTTCTGAGCAGAGCTGAAATAGAGGGGTTTATAGACATGATCAAATACAGGATCAGAGTGGATTTAGAACAAGAAACTTCACACACATGTTTAGAGGAGCTCTGAGACTTATTTACAATTACTGCAGAGGAGGATAATATGTGACCTTCTTATTCCCCAGTTATGGTTTGTGAGTAAAAAACATAAATATCAACTCTTTGTACTGCTGTGACATTTTGTGAAGAAGGGTAATGAGCCGTTAAATCCCAAAGGAGATTCTCTTCTGTGATTTCTGTATGAATGTTGATACAACAGTCAGCAGGAGAAAATAATGTTCTTCTAGGAATTATAGCGTTCATATGATCTCCATTACTAAGGTTGTAGTGTTAAGCATGTAAATATCATATTGTGTAAAGAATTAATTAACATTGAGATGAAGTTTGATCAGAGCGGGTGTGAAAGCCTTTTATTGGGCTTACTGCTGTATCTGAATACTGCTGGAATTAGTCTTCAACTATTGTTATTTACTACCATACTATTGTTGTATTATTGTTCTTATTGTTTTTGTAGTTACCTGATGAAGTGTCTTTTTGGTATCCTCTGAGAGGTTCTTTGAAGTCTGTGTGGTCGCTCTCCCACACTTCAGTGACATCACTACACTGCACCGGTGAGGATTCTCTGCTGTAGCCTCCAAACTCACTTTTACTGACATCAAAAAACAAGTTCAGCTCCTTTAGGACGTTGTCAAATTCTTTCTTCATCTCAAACCTGGGTTTGTTGTTCACATCAGAGGCTGGACTGTCACATTTAGAGGAAGCAATGCAGGACGTTGACTGTGGCTGTAACTCATCCTGGATGCCCTCAGAGGATTTAAAGGCTGATTCACAGTTAGGCTTGTGCTCCGTCAGGCCGGGAACAGGAACATCTGCTGCTGAGATAGGGTTAGAAAGTTCATCACAACTGTAATCACAGCTTGATAATCCATTTGCCACGTAGTCAGTGTGACACTCAAATCTTTCCACATCCTCCTCCTTGCCCTCTTCATCCTCCTCTTGTGGCACCTCCTCGTGCTCGCTGCTCTCGGCCTCTAGCTTGAGGTGGTTGGGCTGTTGCTGGGGTGTTTTCAGCAGCTGCTCAGACAGGCTGCTGAGCAGAGGGTTGTTGCTGAAACCAGCATCATCATCACCGTCATCCTCTAGTGAGAGCTGGATCTTTTCGAAAGTGTCAAAAGCCCCCGAAACGCGGGCACAAAACGTGAAGGCAGATGGCTCTGGGGAAAATCTGTCACTGCATATGATGGCTGTGGGGTTTTTGTCAGCATTTTGTGAATGTCTCAATTCTTGTGTCGCTGGGACGAATGCATCACTGGGGGCAGGAAAAGTCAAAGGCAAGAGGGCGTCTGTCTTTGGTCCGATTTGGTCATCAGAGAAACCACAGAGCTCGTTTGATTGTTCATGTTGGCTATTGAGGATTAATGTGTCCCCCTGTTTGCTCATGGTAGCCTCTGTCTGTTCACTGATACATTCATCAGGTGAAACCTCAGTTTGGTCTTCTTTCTGTTGACTGTCCACTACTTCCACTGACATTGCTGAGATATCTTTAACACCATTTTCCTCCTCTTCTTTTCTTTCATTTCCCTCTGTTGTCACTTCAATCACTGGAATTACAGCAGTGTATGGGTGATCACACAAGCATTCATGGGTATTTCCCAATTCAATATGAGTTAAGTTTTTGCCAGTGTTACTTATTTTGATCTCTTCCCACTCATTAAAGAAATCACCAACAGACATTTCACATGGGTCTTCTTTGTGTTTTTCACTTTGCTGCAGAGGTTTGACCTTTGAGTCCATTGAGTGTTCTTCTTTTCTTTGTTCATCACTTTTCATTTCATATCTTTTTGTGTCTTCTCTTTCATTTATCTCAGTCAATCCGTACATCTCTGCAATTTCAGCCCATAAATATTCAACCTCCTGTGTCAGCAGGTGGTCTAGACTGTCAGGCAAAAGACCAGACTGGTCCTGCTCTGTTGAAGGATGTCCCACAGCGTCGGGGCTCCCTTGTGTTTTTTTGTCCCCAGCAGGAGGAGCCTGTACAGACTCACATTGGCTGCTGCTGGGAGTGGACTTCCACTGACAGTTGTCGTCATTGCTTGTATTGTTGAGTATATTTTCTGTGGTGTTGGGACATGGTTGTGGTTCTGTGTATGTCTGACATGTGCCCTCTTTTTCATCTTGGCACAGGTGTGTTCTGCTTTGATCAAGACCTGAATCCTCCTGTGATGGCTGGACGTCAGGACAGAGAGGTATTTCTATCTCACAGATTTTTACAAATGGAGATAATTGTACACCTTCAGTGCTCTCTGAGTTACAGCACTTCTGCCTAGCCTCCCTGTCACTTTCACTCCAGATTGCAGGGTCAATTACACCGACTGGGCCCGCATCATTATCTCCTTCAGTCGGCTCTTGACTGATTCTTGACGACATTGGAGCCTCTGTTGTGTGATCAGCCGTTTCACTCTCGGTTTTGGCTATCATCTTGCCAGCAGCATGGGCTTCTTTTGCCCCACAGAAGTCATCGGCTTCAAGACTGACAGTCTTAGTTACAATATTTGTGGCTAATACCATATCATGAGAAAGAACTGATCCCTCAGCCCACTCAGCAGCAGAAGGAATTGAGTTTTTGCTCATTTCATTTTCATTCTCTGCTTTTGTTTCCCAATTGCAGGCAGCAACATTTTCATTTGCACAAATCTGCAAGTCTGATATTTCTTCCTTATCTTTTACACCTTCTGCCATCTTCCCTGAGGGATCCTCTTCAGGGATTGAGTAGAATGATTCAGAGTTTGCATAATCAATGAAAGATATGAGACTGTTAGCCTCTTCCTTTACCTTTCCTAAAAGTGCGTTCTCATTAAATCCATCCTCACCATCCCTCTGATTACTCTCTTCAGCTTCAGCAGATTGGCTCCACGTGTTATAGAAACCTGTATTACAAAGTTTGACATTGTAAGTGCAATCAGACAGACATCTGACCTCCTCATCACTCGAACTGAGGCTGAATGCTTGGATTTGACTGACAGTATTTTGCACCTGTCTCCCATCTCTGTCATCTCCAGCAGGAAGATTGCAACCGCAGGGGGTCTCGTCTCCAAGTGATTTCCCCAGACGGTCGCAATCAGGATGACTGGACGTGTCAGCGCTGACGTCTTTTAAAGAGTGAGACTCTGCTAATGCCCCACCTGCATCATCTGGCGGGTATGAGCTGAGCTTGTCAGTTTCTTTAAGAGGAGGCTCCTCATCTTTCACCAGGGGGACAGTTCTTTCAGGAGCAATAAAACAGGCATTAGATGATCCTGTGTTTACTTCGTCATTGTCTGAAGTGGACGACGTAGTTATTGGGTTGACGAGAAAATTAGAGTCTTGTGGTTGAGTTTCGGGTTTTACAAAATCCATACCCCCACATGTTGTTGTGCATTGTACACCAGCACTCTTCTGCAACATGTTTGTGGATAATTGTGCGTTGAAGGTTTTCCGAAATGTCAAAAGCTCAGGAAAGTCAAACCTGCTTTTCTCACTCTGTTCCTCTGGCATTGAACAATCTATTCTTGGTCGTTTGGGGGAGAGTGGTGAATAAAGTTTGCTCTCAGTTGGTGGACTGATATCGTCTTGTGAGATTTGATCCATTGTCTTCTTTCTTCTAAACCTTAAATAGAAACAGTGTTAGTGTAAATGTGCCACATGATAGCCATGCTGCTAGGATCAATAAGTGTTAGTCTATTAAAATAAATGCAATCATTACAGGAAGGATTCTGATACTCTGCAGTCGATGTGCTCTGATGTATAAAAGCTTCAACAACTCACCTTACATCAAACTTGCAGATCAATACATATGGAAGTTATTCAGCTTTAGACCTTTGGAAAAAATATGGAAGACAGCAACATAATATTCAATGAGTTCTGATATCGAACAGATTGTAACACATCATGATGTTGATACACGAAACAGCACAAAGAAATGCCACTGTCGCATCCCTTTTTTAACACCCTTATCAGAAGCTGTGGCGCATCACTCTCTGACAATGCTAGCTTTGTCACAATGAGCATAATAGGCCTTTTTCACACCGGAGATATTGCCTTGTCACATATGGAAAAGCACAGGTGTTACTAAACGCATTAACAATGTCTGCTTCCTGTTAAAATGTCCCTGTCAACCATGGACGAATAACAGTGAGCAGACAGGCACAATACCTGAAACCACAGCAGCTAAATGGAATGCAGCCTGCATTAACTTTATAATTTACACCTCTGATTTTTCAACTACGACTCACATATATTTCTTTTGAATGAAAAACTTATGTCTCACACTTGTGCTCCCCCCTTCCCGATCAACCAAAAGTAAAACTTTAAGACATGAATGTGAAGGCATCAACCATGTGATGTGTCTGTTTCCTGATAGACCACCATGTCAAACAAGACGTACATTTCATGCTTATATAATCGAATGAGATCTGTGGAACTATTTGTAAAATAAATGAAGGATTCCACAGTTAGTAATATTTTGACAAACACCTCCCTTTTTTATAAGATTACATTAGGCATCAAGTTCACCTCTTTTAGCAAGTTGTTTACAGTTTTTAGCTGCCGTTTAGGTTTGTTGTTACATCATATCACAACAGGTTTTTCTTCTTCCTGCATCTCCCTCTATCCCACATTCCAAGTCCAGCACAGTCTCAGCCGTCTGTTCATCATAAGTCTGGTTCTGCTCGAGGTTTCTGCCTAAAGGAAGATTTCTTTGCCACTGTTACTTTGCTAAATGTTGCTCATGATGGATTAATGCTGGGTCTTTGTAGATAATATAACAAAGAGTAAGGTCTTGAACCTGCTCTTTTGTGTCTTGAGATAACATTTGTTATAAATTATAACAAATGTTATAAAAGCAGTGAGCCAGCCACAGCAAGGCTAATATGTCTGAAATCACACACTCAATCCCTACTCCCTAAACATTGAGTTCTGTGTAGGACTATATAGTTCACTCATACAGCACTCTTAAAAAAATATTTAGCTAACTACTCACTGACCTCCGACAGTGACCTCATTACTGTCACAGTGACAAAACTAAATTGTGCAGCTTAACACCCACTGAGTATGAGGGACAAAAAATGACTAAAGTATAAATAAATAAATAAATAAATGTTGGGAGAAATGCATACAATAATGTATAAATAAATGAATAATTAAATAAAAGCATCAATACATAAATACATAAATATATTCATATATTTATTTATGTATTTCTGTGTCCATGTTGGACAAGAAAAAGTAAATATGTAAATTAAGTGGGCCATCCTAACATTACTGAAGTAGGATTGGTCAATTTTGAAAAACAGACAGAAGCAAATTTACATATATACTTTTCCTCTTACGACCTGGACACAGAAATAAATAGATGTGTTAATGTAAAAATACAGAAAAATATTAATAACTCAATTAATGTGGAAATGTATGCATTGATACATATATAACTGTAGAAATACACTAATAAATGAATAAATACATGTAAAAATATATAAATAGCCTTTTTCATTAACAAAGTGTATTTATTATTTATTCATTGATGTATTGTTTTCAGCATTTATATATTTATTGATGCATTTATTTAATTATTTATTTATTTATTTATACATTATTGTATGCATTTCTCCCAACATTTATTAATTTATTTATACTTTAGTCATTTTCTGTCCCTCATACTGAGGACATGAATACCATTAATAAAGGTAAATAGCAGAATAAATGTGAGTGATAACTATTATTATACATTTTCACAAAAATCACTCAGATTTCTTACACCACTACAAAATAGTGTATTCACTATCCACACAGTGAGTGAACATGAAGCTCAACACAAGCTAGTTGCTATTCCAAAAACTTCTAAATTTACAGTTTTGAACAGGCCAGTATTCATAAATTTAAACATTAGTTTCTTGCTTCAAAGATTGGTGCTTTATTACATATCATGACTTGTTATAATTGCAAATATTACACAGAATAACTCAAGCAGAGGTAGTTAGCCAAAGCTGTATTTGAACAATACAGCTGCTAGAGGTAAACTAAACTTTAACAATCATTAAATCTTAATTTCAGAGATTAACACGGACAATTTCTGACGTTTTAGGCAGACATATCTTACCTTGTTATCTATTTAGTTTAGACACAAAGGTTACTCACCTTATCAACTAGTTAGCTGAGTATCTGGTCTATCAGTGGCTAGTTCAGGTTAGCTGAGCGTGTTTTCCCGCCATCCTGTCTGTGGCGCGAAAAAAAAGTCAGACTTCCGTCACTCTCTCTCACTCTCTCTCTTTCACTCTTTCACTCTCTCTCCCTCTCTTTCACTCTCTCTCTCACTCTCTCTCTCTCCTGCCATTCTCTCTCTCTCTCGCTCTCTCTCTTTCACTCTCTCTCTCCCTCTCTCTCTCTTTCACACTCTCTCTCTCCCCCTCTCTCTCTCTCTCTCGCACACTCGCTCTCTCTCGCTCTCTCTCTTTCCCTCTCTCTCTCTCTCTCTTACTCTCTCGCTCTCTCTCTTTCCCTCTCTCTCTTCCTCTCTCTCTCTTTCACACTCTCTCTCTCCCCCTCTCTCTCGCTCTCTCTCTTTCCCTCTCTCTCACACACTCTCTCGCTCTCTCTCTCTCCCTCTCTCTCTCTTTCACACTCTCTCTCTCCTCTCTCTCTCTCTCTCTCTCTCTCTCTTACACACTCTCTCGCTCTCTCTCTCTTCCCTCTCTCTCTCTCTCACACACACACACACACACTCGCTCTCTCTCTCTTTCCCTCTCTCTCTCTCACACACACACACACTCGCTCTCTCTCTCTCCCCCCTCTCTCTCTCTCCTGCCTGTCTCTGTCTCCTCCTCTCAGTGCTTCAGCAGCAGTGTGTGTTCAGCAGCATCATCCTGACCCACACCGCTTTACTATCAGTCGAGTCCGACTCTCCTCCCGCAAGAGAAATAAAACAATAACACGAGATCAAGACAAATCGCACGACACAAATCTTAAGCTCGACAGAAGAGCATCTTCATACGTTTAAATCGCGTCTTTTTCCGTCCTCGCAGGGTTTTTTTGACCAGTCCAGACAGCAGACCGGACTTCTCCCGTTCACTCCTCACTCTCGCAAGGTAAGATTCATGCTCTGTATCAATATGTGTGAGTTTTCCTCATGTGCATGGATAACGTGTGTTTTGCACATTGTCCTACATGATGCAACCTGGTGCGTCATGCGCTTCATTTCACACCAAGTATTGATGGATGTATTGGTGTCCGTATTAATGAGAGGCTCATGACAACTGCACATCTCATTTTTCATTATAATAGATGTACCGTTTTGTGCAACATTTGCACGTTTTGCACGAAGAAATGCGATTTATCTTCAGATTAACATGGTTGTGTCTTGCTCTGGTTTACTCTGCCTATACGCACACACACACACACACACACACACACACACACACACACACACACACACACACACAGACGAACAACAGGCTTTTGATTCAACAACTAAAGTGTGAAGACGGACAAATTCAGCACCGTTGATTCATGCTGCTCGACGCAGCGCTGTGGGATTTTTTTATCGATTAAAAAAATGCCTTTGCGTGGGATGTCTGCGCTTGGCACGACATGGCACGATGTGGTGTGATGTAGTTTGGTATAGGGGCTGAGAGTGTGTGTGCTTGTGCGTGTGTGTGCGTGTGCGTGTGCAGAAGTGAGATGGGGGTGTGGTGTGTCTCATTAATCCACACCATCCTCAGCATGAGGGTACCTCTGCAAATCAAGCAGGCATTAACACACCCCTTGCAACTGCACCACCATGCTGATTATACTAGCACCTCTTCTGCACACACACACACACACCCTGTTACCAGATACCAGATTTGCCAAAACCATTAACCATTGTTCCTATTGTTGCCGGGGCTCTGCTTGCCTCTCAAGGTCATCCCCTGTTGGCAAATGATGGTGGAGGGACAGTGTTATGTAACAGCCACCGCCTGGCTCAGGGGCAGGTCTGCTGGTTGTCACAGGTCTGTAGAAATTACTCATTTCACAATATATATTTCCAGCATCCCGCACCTGTGTGCTGATGTGTAACTAAAGCAAGGATCCCCCCCCCCCCCCCCCACATTTGGCTCTGCCATGGCCTCGGTGGACTTGGAGACAAAGGGCTATGACTCAGGTTTGGAGTCAGCATGGTGCTCTGCTCTGCATTGCACTGCAGACTGACCCAGAGGGTTTGTCCCAGCCTCTGCCCCCTTTTAGATCTATACATGAACAAAGTGTGAAATACATCCTGTAGATGTAAAAAAAAAAAACATCAACATGCATACAATTAAGAGCTAACAGGGGGCGGGGTGTTCACTGTTTTGTACTAACAAGAGTGTCATTCTTTTACACCGTTCTCAAATCACACCCTGATTACTCTCACATCACTTTCCTTGAATTTATCCCTTTTCCGGTCTTACATTCATCTGATGCACTTTCCCTCCTGTTGCAGGGGCCGTAAAATGTAACCGAGTGAGCTGAAGAATGTCGAAGGAATTTCACAATTATCGCAATCAATAAGATTGCCGTGTGGAGAGACATTTAGTTGTTTAACACATACAGATAGTTTTTTCTTTATCCTACGTCTCATTGGTTCCAGTACAAGGCTGACCGTGAGCAGAGCAGATAAGAGGAGCTCTTACACAGCTCTGAGAAATGAAAGTTGTTGAAGGCATGGAAATGAAAACAAAGAATCCTTCCTGGCATGCGGCCATAGTAACCCTCTTTCAACTCTGTAAGGCACAAGGTAACTATCTTTCAAATGTGTAAAAAAACTGTGTAGGAAGAGGATATAAAACTGCCCTGCCGCACCTTGTTTT